AAGCACTGAGCACAGCCAAGCAAGCCCATCAATCATTTTATTTTTATAATCCTGAGATGCTTGAACAAAAATAATTAACCCTTTTTTTTCCAGATGAGGCTCAGGAAGGTTAAGAGATTTGCTTGAGGTCAGAGCCAGAGCGGATTCAAATCCAAGCCCAGTTATTTTTCTAATACAAAAAGGCAGTGGAACTGACAAGGAGCGCGGAATGGGGGAAGGTTTATAGTGGGGGAGATACTGCACCCTTTTGAGCACATTCACCGAAAGTGGCACCTTTCCAGCAATTTTTAAAAGACACGATGAAATGATGGTTGTTACGGCCATAGTGAAAAGACACAGAGAAGGCAGAGTAGCAAAAAGTCCCTGGGACAGGCGAGAGGGTCGGCAGAGGGTGAAGGCTTCCTTCCATTCTCGCTCTCCTCCGCACCTCTGCCCGCACCCCCACTCAGCCTTCAGTTGGAATTGGCTCTGCCTCTGGTTCTAGCGGGGAGTGGGGAGGGACACAGAGCCGCATCCTGAAAGGGAAACAAGGTAGATGGACCTCTCTCTCCCTTCCCACCAAACAGAACCAGGTGGGCCTATGGCAGCTGCAAACCGAGGAAGCTGGAGCCAGGAGTCTGGGGGCTTGGGGATGGGGAAGGGGGTGCCTAACGGAGAGAGAAGAGAAGGAAAGAGCTCTGATAGCACCAGAGCAGACCTGCAGACCAGTGATCTGTACAATGGGGTAAGGGGTGAATCCTCATGCACCTGATTTTTCTAAGATCATTCTTTCAGGATAATTTGATTAAAATAAAGTGATTTGGGCTGGGCATGGTGGCTCATGCCTGTAATCCTAGTACTTTGGGAGGCTGAGACGGGAGGATCATTGAGTTCAGGAGTTTGAGACCAGCCTGGTGACATAGTGAAACTCCATCTCTACAAAAAAAAAAAAAAAAAAAAAAATTAGCCAGGGGTGGTGGTGCACGCCTGTAGTTCCAGCTACTTGGGAGGTTGAAGTGAGAGGATCATTTGAGCCTGGGAGGCAAGGATTGCAGCAAGCTGAGATCGCACCACTGCACCCCACCCTGGGCGACAGAGTGAGACCCTGCCTCAAAGTAAATAAATAAATAAAGTGGTTTGTGTCCATACTCTCACCCCACCCCTCAACTTGAACTATGGGAACAACTGGTTCAATTTTCCATCATGCTTCAGTTATCCAAATCTAGAAGAGTTCTGCTCAGCTCTGAAAACATTAAGAAAATGGGAAGGGGGGTGTGGTCAGGAGGAAGGGAGATAGGAAATGTCCTGCCCTGGAGGGTGAAGATGGGAGTGGAGGCTTCAAAGTGGCAACCTCATGCCTCCATGTGGTCCTGATCATGAAGGATATTTTAAGGCCTCCTCCCTCATCCACCCAGCCAGTCTCCTTCTAGGGCTGAAGGATTCATTCCCACCATCTTAGAGGGAAGGGGTGAGACAGCAGGACATTTTGTTTCCCAGAAAAAGCTCAGGTCAAATTTCAAGGACAAAAGTTAGCACTTGGTCTGGGAAAGAAAACTCTGCCAAATGGAACAAAGGGGGAGGGGGAGAACTCCAGTGAGGTCACTCCAGGTGCCTGGGGGTGTGGGGAGAAATTGGAACTCTGATTCTCCCTGCCAGGATCTGTCTGGCAGGATATAGGTATCGCCGCCTCATCACCCAGAAGTACTCAGACCACCCCCTACATTTCCCCTCTGTCCAAAAATGGGGAGCGGGGCGCTGTGGTACTAGTTTTTGGATCCCATTCACTATCCCACCCCGCCCCCAGCCCAACAGATTTGGTCTGAGCGGAAGAGGGTGGTGCCGGGAAGGGCTTTCCAGCCCAGAGATGTGGCCCAAACCGCTAGGAGAGGGACCGGTAGCTGGCTGGTGTTGCCATGGCAACTTCCTCCCTGCGCTGGATCGAAGCTTCCATCCTATGGGCAAATCAGAGCTGGCTGCTCCAGCTTCTCCGCCCTTCTCCCGGGCGGGAGGGGGAGAACTGGACGCTGAAACCACTTGGTCAGGCTCAGGAACACCATGCTCAATTCCAGACCCTGATGTAACAACCCCCTTTGGCATCTGTTGGAAACTAGAGACACCCCAGCTCCCCAGCTAGGCCCCAGGGCAGAGTGTCAGGGCTGGGACTGTAGATGTGATTGGTGCAAATGAAGTGGTCAGGAAGAGCAGGGAACCAGTGGCTGTAATCCTCCCCACCCACTTGACTGGCAGGCGAGTCCCCCAAATCCCTATGTTTAAGCCACTTCAAAGAAGGAGGGCCCAGCTCTACCTTAATAACTACAACGCTGCAATAAAAAGTATTGCAATTATATTAAAATTATAAAGCTAGCATTTTGAGAATCAGCCTTCTCCCCTCCCCAAACCCACAGATTCTTTTCTATGGTCATGTTCAGAAACAACTCTTTCTCAGTAACAAGACAGATAACAGCTAACATGTATTGAGAGCCTACCTCATGCCAGGTACTGTACTAAGACCTCTGCACAGCACAAACAGCATAATAGTTCATTAAAAGCACAGATGCTTGGGTCAGATTGCCCAAGTTCAAGGCTTCATTAACTCACTTCCTGGCTGAGTGACCTTGAAGGAATTAATATGTCTGTGCCTCAGTTTTCTCATCTGAAAATGGGGATGTTAACAGGATGGCAGTTTCATAGGCTTGCTATGAGGAATGAGTTAATATATTTAACATGTCTGGGAATATGTCTCGCACAAAGGTAATCATTTGTAAAATGTTAACCCTATGCAGTCCATGTTATTATTTTTCTTCTTCCTTACAGATACGAAACTGAGGCCACATGTCTAACTCCTCCCCAATTACAAACCCAGTGCCAACAAGGCTGGGCAACAAAACACACACACAAAAACGCCCCCAAGCACATGTTTCCCTAAAGCCCCAGCATCCTTGTGAAAGAGGGCAAAAGGAGCATCTCATGAAATAAGTTCAAAGTGCACGAGGGAAGATAACCCTTGAGAGGAATTATATGAACCAGTAATGACCAGCATCCTGGACCCACAGGGGGTGGAAAGAGGTGTGAGGAAGGCTCAGCTTCCTGTGCCCACCCCAGTGGCCAAGGATCTCAAGTCCAAATCAGGAATGAGCTCTGCCCCAGTTAAGGCTAATAAGAAAAAGGCTCCTTCTCACACCATTTCTCAGGAAACTAGCAAAAGGATGGCAACTAAACCCTGAAGATGGCTCTGGCTCAGTCTGGTTGGAAAAAGATGCATTCGGCATGAGTTGGAAGCAGCAACAAAGGGGAGGCTCCGAGATGAGCCAGAGGCCTGTCAGGGACACATTTCTGAGACGGAGCCAGCAGAGACAGATAGGCATTAAGAGGACCAGGGGAGGGAGGGGAGAAGAGGCAGGTGGAGCCACGCCTGTGTCCAGTATGGGAGAGACCATTCCATTGCTTTTAGAAATCAGTTCAGCGCAGTGCTGTTCTAAAAGAATAAATCCAAAAGGCTTTTTTTTAGGAGAAAATTAATGACTTTAAGGAGAACGAGAGAAATTAAGCACCACACAACGCTGCCTACTTCCGACTTTCACCAGACATTCATTATTCTTCCGGAAATGAAAGTTGACTTTCTCCCTCCCCCTCCCAAATTTGAAGCATCCCTCAAGAACAGACAGTGAGCACAAGATGCCCAAATCAAACTCTTGGTCACCAGCCGCGCCCCCAGGCCTCCTCACCTGGGAAATATTTTCTACAAAGTGAGGTCTGGATTTCTTAAAAATCCTCTTTCAGAGGGAGGGCTACTGGTTTAATGGAAAGAGAACCATAAACCTGATTTTAGTCTCAGCTCTGTGGCTGCCTCACTAGATGACCTTGGGAGATATATCACACACACACATACCCCCACACACACACACCCATTCCAGGGCTTCAGTCACACACATACAAACACTCACACAAATACACACACACACCCCCATCCATTTGCGGGCAAAAAGGGGATAGACAAGATGATTTCTAGGTCTCTTCCAAGTGAAACACTAAAGAATTTCAAGAAGCCTGCTGGAAAAAACAAACATGAGTGGACCTTTAAAAATATCATTAATACTACATGAAGTTATCTGTTCTGACTTAAGTGAAACCAGAGCAAGTTGCCTGCAGCCTGCAATAACCAAGGTGTTTGACCCATGACACAGGGTTTGAAGAAAAACCAAACCATTCCTGCCTCTGATGCTCCTACAAACCCACGGTCCTGCCCAGACCGGCTCTTGAGACCCAAGTGGCCTGCTGACCACTCTACTGTGTTGAGGAGGCCCCTACTTCTTCCCTCCTTGCCTTGTCCAGAATAATAATACAACCTCCCTCAGCTACATCAAGGCAGAAGTTAAACCTCTGAGCCTCAGTTGTTTTTTTCTGTAAAATGGTGCTTGTAAAAATGGTAAAATGTCTCTGCAGCAACCATCTTCACCCTTACCCCCATCCCCACCTCCAGGTCAATAGAAAGATAGGTCTACTGGGGATCTGCCTCACCCATCATTCACCAGTCAACAAATTCTTCTGAAGAACAGGCAGGAAGACATGACCACCACTTCATCCCATGATAGAACCTTGGTTGCCAGGTTGATCAGACAAGGGTCCCCAAAGACTAAGTCTAAACCTGGGCCCAGGAACTTCCTAAAACCGTAGGCTACCTTTTGTGGATGGTGCAGACATGCACTTCGGGAGAGACAGTCCATGGTTTCCTCAGAGACTTGAAAGTGCCCATGAAACCATTTTGCTCCTCCAGCACATACGCTCCTCTGTTTTGTGCCCCCATTGAATTCAAATACTCTTGGATTTTCAGCTCACAAAACACTGAACTCCACCCTCACACCATACAGAGCCTTGCATCGATACGATGATCCCCATTTCAGAGATGAGGAAATCCAGGTTCAGGGGTGGCATGACTTGCCCAAGGTCACAGCTAACAAGTAGAGAATGAAGACTGGAACCTGATTCCGATTCCCAATCTGGCATTCTTTGAGGAACTGTCACCCAAGCCCTCTAGCTACCCCACCTGTTGGTGGATTCCCTTCCTCACCCCAGAACCAAATCCGGAGCGCTCATGTTCCTTCTGCCGGGTCCCAGGGCCCTAAAAAGTAGGTTTCCCTACAGCTCCCCACCCCTCCCTCTGGCTGAGGTTGTGCGCAGGCCTGGGAGGAGGAGGTTCAAGCCGCTGGATGGTGGCCGGCTTCAGCCCACCAAGAAAGGCGACTCCAGGGACGAGAGCACCTGAGGTCAGGGGCACACACCAGCGGGCGGACAAGTGTAGAGTTGGCGCCGCCCTACACCTCTCTCTGGGAAGTGAGGGGAGGAAAGGCCGTCACCTGGCCGGTTCCCCTGCGTCTGCCCCAGGCGTATAAGAAGCAGGAGTCTGGAGCCCCAGCCCCTGAGGAAAGGAGAGGAGAGACAATTGGGGGCGCTCAAGGCCTCGGGCGCCGGGCAGGGGTCTTGGGCAGGGATCCTCTGGATACGGCCAAGACAAAGATGGAGAGGTAAGGTCTGCGCGCCACCTCCAATGGCGAGGGGCGCGTCGGAGCCCCAGGGTGGGACGGCCAAAGCCCCGGGCTTGAAGAGTGGGCACATTCAGGAGACTCGGGAAGGGTGGCGGGTCGGATCCAGGGACGAGGCAAGGGGCCTCCAATAGGCGCAGGTGAGGAGGGAGAGCTGGGTCCTGGCGACCCAAAGGGCCCACCTGCGGGAAAGGTGAATGCAGACGATCTTGGGGTCCCTGGGGGACAAGGCCAGAAGACAGCGCATCCTGGAGACCCTGAGGTCCCGTGGGTGCGGAAGGAGACCCTGGGGGCGCCTTCCCAGGGCGTTGGGGGAGGGAAGGAGGGCTCACGGGTCGGGGAGGGGGCCTCCGGACCAGGATCCCGGGACACCCCGGGGGTCTGGGGACGGGCCGCGCGCTTACCTGCGTCCTCATCGTCGAAGGAGTTCATGCACGGGAAGTAGATGGCGAGCGCCTCGAAGGAGGCGGATAGACTGAGGCGGCTCTGCGAGCGCTCCATGCCTGCACCAGCGCCGGGCGCCTCGGCCGCGCCGGCGGCGGCGGCGGGCGGCTTGGGCAGCTTGGCCGCCCCATTCTTGACGCGGAGTACGGCGCGCGGCGTGGTGGCGGCGGCCCGGGGCCGGTCCGGGGCTCCGCTGCGGGGCTGGCGGGAGCGGCGGGGCCGGCGGGCGGGCCAGGAGCTGGCGGCGCGCGGAGCCCGAGGCGCACTGTGCTCCCGGCGGCGGCGGCTGTGGCGGCGGCGGCGGCGGCAGCAGTGGCGGTGGCGGCGCAGCGCGCTCTGGCCCGCGGCGCCCCCAGCCGGCCGCGCGGGGCGGGCTTGGAGCGGCGCCGCAGCCAATCCGTGCCGCCGGGGGAGGGGGCGCCACTGCGGGGCGTGGGAGCCCAAAGGAAGCCTGCTGCGGCCCCTTCTAGCCGCCCCGGGCCCGGTAGTTGCGCGCTGGGAGGCAGGCGCGGGGCGAGGTTGTCTGGACCCTGGTCCCAGGGCTATCCCCGACCCCGCCGCGGCCCCCACCCTCAGCCGGCCGACTTGCGGAGAGGCCGGCGTCCAGTCCCCTACCCAGACAGGCCTCTCCCAGAAACACGGGCGCGCTCGGAGGGGATGCGCTCAGAGGGTCCCGCCCAGACGGGTCGGCATTCGGCCTCCCACACAGAGACCCTCAGCTTCACACCTGCACCCACAGAGAAGCTCAAACAGGCACCCACACCTACACATTCACTCTGCAACATGCCCCGCAGACACCCGGACAGATACACCCACAGACCCACCCCCTCACCGATGCGGGGACAGACACGTCCACGGACACACGCAGACTCACGCAGAGACCTGCAAACACACTCAGGGAGGCAGGCAGGCCACCCCTGGTGCCCGGCCTCCCACACAGGGAGACTCTCAGATGCCACAAAATCCCACGAAAGTTCAGGCAGGCATACACAGTCTCATGCATTCACACTTACCCACAGACACCCCAGAATTCATACACACACTCATACACTCAGATGAACACACAAGTCCAGATCCAGCACATACTCTATGTCGCCTACCCCCGTGACCATCTCAGCACTGTCAAACACTCAGACTGACACGGCCAGATGCACACCCCTTCACCCTTAGACACACTAGAGTAGCATACACACTCCAAAACACAGCCACACAGACTCCATCCCTCCCAGTGTGGGTGCATCCTGACGAACGGACTGACACCCTCAGACTCAGGCACACTGAGACACACTTGGCAGGCCCACACTCACAGACTCTCCCATTATCACCCTTGGCGACCCGCAGTCCTCAGATAACACACAGGCTCAGACGCTCGCAGCCCCAGGACAGAGACGAGCAGAATCGGAAACCCATGCTCCATTCCCTGCATGTGACCTGGGACATGAGGGTACCTGCCCACCTAATCAGGCCCCAGATGGCAGACAACCTTCCCAGTTGCTCACACACCTCTTTATGAAGCCATCTGGTGACATGGAAACAGTTCAGGCCTCAGAAAGAGATAGCCCGGAGTTTGAATCTCAGCTGTGGTGCCGTCTTTCTGGGTGGCCTATGGCAAAACTCTTTACCCCATGGGTCCTGTTCCTCATCTGTACAATGGGAACAGGAATCTTCCATTTTGGATGGCTGTGAACTGCCTGTAAGATAACACAGGTGTTTGTTTTCTATTGCTGCATAACAAATGAAGCAGCTTAAAAACACCAATCTAGTGGTTTACAATCCTATGGATCAGAAGTCTGGGCAGCCTGAGCTGGGTTCTCTGCTTAGGGCCTCACAAGGTATTGGCCAGACTGGGCTCTTCTCTGCAGGCTCTGGAGAAGGATCTGCTTCCAAGATCATTCAGGTTGTTTGCAGGATTCAGTTCCTTGTGGTTGCAGGACTGAGGTTCCTGTTTCTTTGCTGGCTGTCAGTCAGGAGTTGATCTCAGCTCGTCGAAGTGGGTTTCTGGTCCTTACACATGGCCCCCTCCACCTTCAAGGCCTGCCTCAGGATGTCAAGCCATTCTCATCCTTCAGCAGAATCTTTCGACCTTGACTTCTGCGTACTGGCCTGAGAGATTCTGCCTTTAAAGGTCTTGTGTGATTAGATCAGGTCCACTCGCATGATGTCCCTTTGACATATAATGTAATATAATCACGGTAGCGATTTCTGATCATGGTCGCAGTTTCCACCCACACTCACACAAGGGCGGGATCATACAAGGTATTATATAAGGGCAAGGATCACTGGAGTTATTCTGACACATCTGCCCATCACAGTGTGCAAAACACCTAGCACAGTGCTGGCCTTCGGCAGGTGCTCCTGAGCCCTAGCCCCTTCCCAGGGACCAGATCTAGACTTTGGGGCATCCTGGTGTCATGGTTAAGAGTGCTGGTATAATCATCCCCATCTTGGTCAATGGCAGCTCCATTTTTCCAGAAATCTTGGATACTGGACTCTTCTGTCACACACACCACATTCAATCCATCAGCAACCCCTTTCATTTCTATACACAAAATGTAACCAGAAACTGACCGCTTCTCTGCCCCAAACCCTCCCATCTCACAGTCAAAGTCCATGTTCTACAAGGTCCTAACTTCTTTGGCTCTGCCACCCCTCTGTCCTCATACCCAGGACACCCTGGTGGCTCATACCCAGGAAACCCCGGTGGCTCACTCGGCTTCAGAACCCCTGTACTGCTGTTCCCTCTGCCTGAAGCCCTCTCCCTTGCAAAGGGCTGTGTAGCTCACTCACAGATCTCTGCTCAAATGTCACTTTCTCTCTGAAGTCTTCCCTCACCACTCTTTATGAAGTAGCAAAAACCCCTCCCTGAAATGCCAGATCCTCTTTACACTGCTTTATTTTTCTCTGTAGCCCTCATCACCATCTGACACGTTTCATATATATGTGTGGGGGTACCTGTATATATACGGACACACATATTTATGTATATGTGTGTATGCGTGTATATATATGCAAACACACATAGATGTGTATATGCATGTATATGTATATGTATGTGCATATATATACACACACATATACAACACACACATTTTTATTCTCGTGTATTTGTTTATTGTCTCTTTTTCCCCTTCCCCAGAGCCCAGAAGGATGCCTGGCAAAAAGTTCGTGTTCAGTAAATTGTTGTTGATTGAACACCAGCCTTAGGAAGGACATAAGTATCCTTTGCATCCTCTCCCCATCTTACAGATAAAGAACTGAGGCTTACGAAGGGGGGACTTACTCAAGGTCACAGTGAGTAGGCCTCTGGTCAAAAATGGTGGGTGGGGGCCGGGTGCAGTGGCTCACGCCAGTAATCCTAGCACTTTGGGAGGCCAGCGCGGGTGGATCACCTGAAGTCAGGAGTTTGAGACCAGCCTGGCCAACGTGCTGAAACCTCATCTCTACTAAAAATACAAAAATTAGCCAGGCGTGGTGGCGGGCATCTGTAATCCCAGCTACTTGGGAGTCTGAGGCAGGAGAATTGCTTGAACCTAGGAGGCGGAGGTTGCAGTGAGCCGAGACCGCACCACTGCACTCCAGCCTGGACAACGGAGCAAAACCTCCATCTCAAAAAACAAACCAAAACAAAAAAAGGTGGGTGGGGAATCTAACCCAGCATAAGGATATCGAAGAAGGTTTCCCTGAGGATGTGATGCTGAAGCTGAAAATAGCACCTCCTATGTGCCTGGACTTCTTGGTGTGATTTCTCCTTTCTTGGTTAGCTCATGCCTAAAATTCCATCCATAGGCTTGGGGCCTGTAAGCTTAAATCATTTACCCTTTGTAAATACGTAATGTTTCCCCATGGGAAATTGAAGTGGTCAGCCACTTACACCTGGGTATGAATAATGCATTCTAAGAACAAGTTTGGGGGGTGGAGAGGGATGCTTAAGAATATGAATGAGGGAAGTGGTGGATGTGGATCCAGAGAAGGAAGGGATGGGAAACCAGAGATGAACTTCCAGGTTGGAATTCACGGCCCAGTGAGATGGAGGATGCCAAGAACCGGGCAGCTCAGTGGAGTGGAATGGAAGAAGCATTGCCTGACTTGGGTTTAAATGACTGTCCTTATTTTGTTTATGTGACCTTGGGTGTGTTCCCTCAAGGTTCTCATCAAAAAATGAGAGTAATAGGCCGGGCCTGGTGGCTCACGCCTGCAATCCCAATACTTTGGGAGGCTGAGACAAGAGGATTACTTGAGGTCAGGAATTTGAGACCAGCCTGGCCAACATGGCAAAACCCTGTCTCTACTAAAAATTAAAAAAATTACCCAGGCATGGTGGTACACGCCTGTAACCCCAGCTACCTGGGAAGCTGAAGCACGAGAATTGCTTGAACCTGGGAGGTAGAGGTTGCAGTGAGCAGAGAGCACGCCACTGCACTTTAGCCTGGGTAACAGAACAAGACTGTCTCCAAATAAAAAGGAGAGAGAATAATTAACACCTCTTTGCACAATCGTGGTGAAGGTTGGATGTATACAGACTGCGCCACATGTAATAGTTACTTGATAGATAAATGTATTGAATGTAAATTCCAAGTGCTCGCTATTGTACCCAGCTCTACAAATACAGGGATGAAAAAAGTAGATCTGGTGTCTGCCTTCACGGAGTTTATAGCTTGGTAATATTAGACAAAAAATTATGCCAATCATTATTTAAATTATTTAATTACTACCTTATCTAATAGTTGCATAATAATAATATTAATTGCAATTGTGAAAAGTGCCATAAAAGATATATATCTATATACTGTGTGTGTGTGTGTGTATGTGTGTATGTGCGTGTGTGTGTGTTTGAGTGAGATAGGGTGAGATGAGGTCTTGCTATATTGCCCAGGCTGGTCTGAAACTCCTAGCCTCAAGCAATCCTCCCGCCTTGGCCTCCCAAAGTGAGTAGGATGACAGGTGTGTGCCCCTGTGTCCAGCCCAGTATGTATATACGTTGCTGTGCATGTGTGTACATATGTGGGCAGCTTCAAGTAATTGGAGAATCTAACCCAGCATGAGGAGATGGAAGAAGGCTTCCCTGAGGATGTGATGTCGAAAATGGCACTTCCTATGCGCCTGGACTGTTCTTGGTCCTGTTCTTGGTCAAACTTGTTCTTAGAACACATTTTGCTTATTTATATCAGTAAGTAAACCAAATCACTGCCCTCACATTTGCTTTTTAAAATAACTCTGGGGCCAGGTGCAGTGACTCACGCCTGTAATCCCAACACTTTGGGAGGCTGAGGCGGGTCACCTGAGGTCAGGAGTTTGAGACCAGCTTGGCCAACGTGGAAAAACCCTGTCTCTACTAAAATTACGAAAATTAGCTAGGCATCGTGGCAGGTGCCTGTAATCCCAGCTCTCAGGGGAGCTGAGGCAGGAGAAGCACTTGAACCCAGGAGGCGGAAGTTGCAGTGAGCCGAGATTGTGCCACTGCACTCCAGCCTGAGGGATAGAGCAAGACTCTGTCTCCAAAAAAATAAAATAAAATAACTGGGGCTGCTCTGGGAGAGATGGATTTGAGTGAATTCAGGAGCACCTCACCCCTTCTCTTCAGGTAAGTCCTGATTTGAACCAAAAAGCCATTGCTTGTTTTACTTTTTCTTTTCTTTTTTTCTTTTTCTTTTTTTTTTTTTGCCTCCTAGCCAAGGAAGATGGCTGAGAAAGGATGTCCCAGTGGAAAGGTGAAGTGGAGGAGGCTGAGCGTCCAAGGATCCTAAAGCCAGATAGGAGGCCATGGCTGTGGGAGGCTGAGACACGGATGGGAGGTAACAAGGCCTCGGCTAAGGAGAGGGCTGGGCCTGAAAGTTCCAGAGATCACTTGAGCAGGACTTGGTGACAGACTGGATGGGGTGAGGGTTGAGAAGGAAAAGGAGGAACAAAGACACTGCCAAGCTCTGAGCATTAAGAGAAACAGCACATACAGATGGAGGCGTCCTCTTCAGGCACCTTTCCCTAAGCTGAAGCCTTCAGTGGAGTGCTCCTTAAATTTTACATATTTTGCAAGACCCAGCTGAGTGGCTTTCATCTAGAGAAGTGAAAAGTGGCTGAAATGTAGTTAGTTAAACCTCTAGGGGGTCCTAGTTGCAGTTTTGTCCGAGAGAGAAAGACTGATCTTGTCTGTGTTCTGCCTGCTCTGTGTGTGTGTGTGTGTGTGTGTGTGTGTAAAACTTCCCTGCTAATGTGCATATCTCTGATAAGAATTTCTGCATATCTGTGTCATTGTCTTTGAGGCGATAACCTTGTGTCTGAATATGTCCTTGCAAGGTGCATGTCCTTGTGTTAAATGTGTTCAGTCTAGTTGTGAGTGTGACATGTATTCTGGTTTTTGCCTGTACTGATATGTGGGTATGTATGTGTGTGTGAAAGACACAAACACACACACACAAAGACAGAGAAAGACAGTGCCTGTCTCTGTGTGCACATGAGCCATGTGTTCTCATTTCCATGTGGTTCTATGTTGTGTTTGTGTCGTCTGTAGATGCTGTGTCCTTCCCTGTGTTTGCGATATCTCTAAGTGTATTGGTGTCTGCGTGTAACTGAGTTGAGTTAGCCGTATTCGAGTGTCTGTGTAAGGTCTCTGTAATGCCTATGCTTGTGTGTGTCTCCTTGCATCCTGGTCAGTGTGAATGCATCCCTGACTGTGTGTGAATGTTGTTTTGTGAACTTGTCCATGTTGACTGGTAGCTTGAGAGGGGACTCATATTTTCTTGGATTAATCTCAGTCTTTAAGTGGCTAACACATGCCTTAGAGCTAATAGGGATAGAGATATTAAAATCTATTATAAACTCCAAATCCCCTAACTACTTACCTAACCATTAATTTATTCTTTCATCTATCCATCCATCCATCCATCCATCCATCCATCCATCCATCCATCCATCTCTCCCTCCCTCTCTTTCTCCCTCCCTCCGTCCTGATTTCACTGGCATTTAGTAGCTATGTAGTTATTTCTCTTAGGCACGAGTTTTCTCATCTATTAAATGGAGATGATAAAGTAGCTACCTGATAGGGCTGGGGATATCGGGTAGAAATTTAAGTGGGACAGCACATACAAAATACTTAACGTGTTGCCTAACACATAGTAGGTGCTCACTATATTAACGATTATTGTCACATCACTGTGGTCACTATGATTCAGCAAATTCTCATCAGCACTTTGCTAAGGGCCACCCCTGAGCTAGAAGCTAGTGAGGCCTTATCCATAGCAGAGGCCATTAAGTGCCTCTGCCATCACCTTCTTGTGTGACCTCGGACAAAGCCTATGCCCTGTCTGAACCCATAGAGTGAGTAGAGCACTCTTGCCCCACCTTCTTGCAGAGATTCTGGGGGCATCTACACTTCTGAACCTGCAAGGAGCTGTGCAGTTACGTAGCAGGTCAGGGGACATTCCAAAGCCTTAAAATGGCAGAGGCCTGTCCTGGGTCATCAAGAGAGTCAGGCACCAGACCCCATGGTACTTCAGGCCAAAGCCAGACCCCCTGGCACTGACAGGCCTTCCTGTCATTTCTGGCCCCTGATCTCCCTCTGGGGACGCACCTAGCAGGAAGTCATGGGGCAGAACTTCTTCACTTCTCCACCATTTGTCTCTCACTTACTATTTGGTGGGCCTGGCCTTGTTTTTAAAAGAAAAAAGGGAATAAGGTGAGGAGTGTGATTTCTGTCCCAATAAGTCACTACTGTGAACAAGAGATAGAGACAGAGAAAGAAGGAGAGAAAGGGTAGAAAGAGACAGAAACTAAGAAAGAGACATGGGACACTGTAACGGAGACACACAGAGACAGGGAATGGAAGAGGCAGAGGCAGAAACAGGAGAGAGAGAGGAAGATGGTTGGAGACAGGAAGATATCAGAATAAAGTCAGGCTTTCTTGCAGACCTGATTTGGGCTGCCTCAATTTACAAAGCTGTGCGAGCCCTGTAGCAAGGACTGCCACTCTCCTCAGGCTACCCTCATCCAACACGCCCGCGTACACTCACACACTCACACACTCACACATACATTCACACACTCTTAAACACTCATCCTCAAATGCTCATACACGCATGCTCACAAAATGGAGGGAGAGGAGGCAGGGGCCTCAAGTTAGGGGTGGATTCTGGTCATCAGGAACCCCCCGTGTGACATTATGCAATGCCAAGACACATCCCATTTGAGTCTCAGTTTCCTCATTTGGAAAATAAACCCGCAGACCTCATTCAGTGGTTTCAAGTCTAAAGGAGATAATGGATGTAAAAAAGTTTTAGAAATAATGGAAAAGTTTGGGAAAGGACCTTTGGAACTAGGCAAGCGAATTATACTACTCACATGGAAAATTGCTGGGAAAATGTGCAGTTGAGGAAAGTGGGGAAGGATAAGGAGTGATCATGAGCACTATCAAACCCCAAAACATTCTAAAACTACAGTAAGATTTTTTGTTTGGTTGGTTTTGTTGTTGTTGTTGTTGTTGTTTTAGATGGGAGCCTTGTTCTGTTGCCCAGGCTGGAGTGCAGTGGCACGATCTTGGCACACTGCAACTGCCACCTCCCTGGTTCAAGCGATTCTGCTGCCTCAGCCTCCCGAGTAGCTGGGACTACAGTTGCACGCCACCACACCCAGCTAATTTTTGTATTTTTAGTAGAGATGGGGTTTTGCCATGTTGACCAGGATGGTCTCGATCTCTTGACCTCGTGATCCGCCAGCCTTGGCCTCCCAAAGTGCTAGGATTACAGGCGTGAGCCACTGTGCTCAGCCCAGTAAGTTCTTTTAAAGGCCAAAAAAAAAAGTTGGAGTCCCTTCATATGTAAAGAGCACTTGCAAAACAGTACAAAAAAGGCCATCACTCCTGTGGGAAATGGAGAAAGGCTCTTAACAGGCAATTCACAGGAAAAAAAAAATACAAATGACATGTAAACAGGAAAAAGTTATTCAGCATTTCTCACTATTAACAGAATGTCAGTTAAAACAAATGCAAGCCACTGCACTCCAGCCTGGGCAACAGAGCGAGACTCCATCTCAAAAAAAACCCAAAAAAACAAAAAAAACAAATGCAAGCCATCATTATTTACCCATCAGTCTAACAAAGAAGTTGCTTGAAAATAAACTGTATGGGGAAAGGAGTGAAGAAATAGACACAGTCACACATTGTTAGTGGGAGTATATATTAATTGATGAAAACTTTGGAGATTAATTTGTTAGTATCTATCAAAATATTTAAATTCACAAACCATTTAACTTAGCAATTCACCATTTGAACAGAGCAATTCCACTTCTAGGAATTTATTCTACATTCTACATATATACTTGTACATATGCAGGAAGGTAATGCATAAAGAATGTTTTGTAGCATTGTTTATAATAGCAAGAGATTGAAAATAAGCCAGGTACCCATAAAATAAATTATGACACATCCATATAGGGGAATTCTATAGTCATTAAAATGAACGAGGTGGATGGGTTTGGCACTGATAGCCTAGATATATAATGAAATAAGAAAGCAATGTCTGAACAGTATGTATAGTGCACTCCCATCTGTGTCCGAAATACATATGTATGTAGGCATTTAAATATAAATCTTTGAATGGGCACACAGATTTCAGGAGCCATACACAGGAAGCTATTAATGGTGATTCCCTTAGGTACACAAGACTGAAAACTTCTGGGTGGTAACCTGTGTCCTTTGCTTTATGCCCTTCTCTAGGATATGAATTTTTTTTTTTTTTTTACCATGAGCATGTATTGTTTGGAATAAGATAATTTTAAGTACATTTTTCACCTAAAAAAGGAGTTAGTATCCATAGTTAGTAAATAATTACAACATAAATGTGTTACTTGGACCAGGGTTACCTACAAGCTTCCTGTTATCTGTGACTTCAGTAACATGGATTAGGCTCAGAATCCCCCTCGGGACCACCCTCAGGGTGGGAGTATGCTTTGCCGCCAGTCTCCTGGGAATGGGAAAGTAGGCTAGGCTGCTCAAAATAACCACCTGCCATTTCCCAAGCTGGTCACTTTCTCTCCTGAGCCAAGGGAGGCTCCGGCTGGGTGGAAAAGGTGGATTCGTCTTTCCAGGAACCACAGCCTTTTTCTGCTGCATACCTCCTCCCCCTGACCAAGCAACCCTGACATCTCAACCTGTCCTTTGATGCCACCCAGCCTGGAAGAAGGAGATGGCTGGAGTCTAGAAACCTAGTGCAAGATGAAAATCTGCTCTGCCACAGGTTTGTACTGTGATCTTGGGGAAGCCACTCTGTCCCTCTGGGCCTCAGCTTCCCCACATGTCAGAAGGGGGATGGGATAGGAGGATTGCTGAAAGCCCTCCCAGCTCTGACCCATTTAACTTAAGTTAGATAGCCATGGGTTCGAATCTGACCTCTGAAAGTCACTAGCTGTGTACCAATGGGCAAACCACTTCACCTCTCTGAGCTTTAATTTGGTCATCTATAAAACGGAGAAAATAATATACTTCACAGAGTGGATGGGAGATAAGGTATATAAAGCATTAACATTGTACATAGCACATAGTAACAACTCAATAAATGGCAGCCATTATCATCATCCAGAGTCTTACTTGGATATGGCCCCTCAGAAGTAACCCTAGTTTAAGGACCTTTCCCACTCATCCCCAACCTGTACCCAACACCTCTTTTGCCCTGGGAGGGCCATGTGCTCTGACCTAGGAATCAATAAGCATAAAACCTTATCCTTGCTACTGAATTCATATGGAATCATGTGGGTACGGTGGCTCACACCTGTAATCTCAGCACTTTGGGAGGCCGAGTGAAATTGAAAAATTGAAATCACCTTAATCATACCACCCAGAAATAACCACTTTTAAACCTGATGTGTTTTTGGACCATACATGATATATGAATATTTCTAATGGGATTATACTGTAAGTGCTTTTATGGCCTGTGTTTTGTTTGTTTTTCCACTTAGCTTTCTATCATAAACATCTTCTCACAGCAATAAATATACCTCCATCTCATCATTTTAAGTTTCTGAACAACAGGTGACATAATTTAACTAATTTCTAATGTTGGACATTTAAATTGTTACCAGTTTTTTTTGCTGTCATGTTAAAGTTTAAAGAAATACTTTTGCAATTAGATTACTAAACTAATCCATGACTTCACTAGCAGGACAACTGCTGGGTCAAAATGTTGCATGGTTTGAAGGCTTTTAATAAGTTTTGGCAAATTTCCTCTAACGACATTGTACCAATCTTCACTCTCCAGGAGCATATGACATTCACTCTCCAGGAGCATATGACATTATTTCCCATCCTCATTCTCTAAAACTAGCAATTTTCTTTGTGATTCTGTTTTCCATGGTCTGCCATCAGCAATACCATAATTTTCTTTCCTTCCTTCCCTCCTTCCCTCCTTCCTTCCTTCCTTTTCTTTCTTTCTTTCTTTCTTTCTTTCTTTCTTTCTTTCTTTCTTTCTTTCTTTCTTTCTTTCTTTCTTTCTTTCTTTCTTTCTTTCTTTCTTTCTTTCTTTCTTTCTTTCTTTCTTTCTTTCTTTCTTTCTTTCTTTCTTTCTTTCTTTCTTTCTTTCTTTCGAAATGCAGTTTTGCTCTTGTTGCCCAGGCTGGAGTGCAATGGCACGATCTCATTGCAAACTCCACCTTCCAGGTTCAAGCGATTCTCCTGCCTCAGCCTCCTGAGTAGCTGCGATTACAGGCATGTGCCACAATGCCTGACTAATTTTGTATTTTTAACAGAGATGGGGTTTCTCTGTGTTGGTTAGGCTGGTCTCGAACTACCAACCTCAAATGATCCCCCCTCTGCCTTGGCCTCCCAAAGTGCTGGGATTACAGGCATGAGTCACTGCACCTGGCCCAGCAATACCATAATTTTACACCTTCCATTCCTCACTACATTAGGCCATTCTTAAGTTGCTATAAAGGAATACTGGAGGCTGGGTAATTTATAAAGAAAAGATGTTTAATTGGCTCACAGTTCTGTAAGCTGTACAAACATAGCACCAATGTCTGCCTGGCTTCTGGTGAGGCCTCAGGAAGCTTACAATCATGGCAGAAAGTGAAGCAGGCGTATGCATGGTCACATGGCACTAGCATGTGCAAGAGAGAGGGGAGAAGGTACCACACATTTTTTGTTTTGTTTTGTTGAGATAGGGTCTCACTCTGTTGCCCAGGTTAGAGAGCAGAGGTACCATATCAGCCCACTGCAGTCTCATCTTCCTAGGTTCAAGCAATCCTCCCACCTCAGCCTCCTAAGTAACTGGGACTACAGATGCATGCCACTGTGCCCAGCTAATTTTGCTTTTATTTTTTGTAGAGATGGGGTCTCACTATGTTGCCCAGGCTGGTCAGAACTCCTGGGCTCAAGCGATTCTCCTGTCTCAACCTCCCAAAGCGCTGAAATTACAAGCATGAGCCACTGTACCCGGCTGCCACAAACTTTTAAACAACTAGATCTCATATGAGCTCATTCATCATCAAAGGGATGGCATTAAGTCATTCACGAGGGATCTGCCTCCAGGATCCAAACACCTCCAATAAGGCCCCACCTCTAACACTGGGATTTTGAGGGGACAATATCCAAACCATATCATTCTGCTTCTGGTCCCCCAAATCTCATGTCCTTCTCACATTGCAAAATACAATCATCTCTTCACAACCATTCCACAAAGTCTTAATTCATTTCAACATCAAGTCCAAAGTCCTGAGTCTTATCCAAGACTCATCTCCTTCCACCTATAAGTAAAACAAGTTATTTACTCCCAAGATAGAATTCCATTTCCCTTTCCCAAAGGGAGAAATCGGCCATAAGAAAGGGGTAATAGACCCCATGCAAGTCTGAAACCCAGCAGGGCAGGCATGAAATCTTAAAGATCCAACATAATCCTTGACTCCATGTCCCACATCCTGGTTCAAAAGGTATATCCTGGTGCAAGCCACCCCTGTGGCTTTGTGGATTGCAGCCTATGTGGCTGCTCTCACAGGAGTTGAGTGCTTGTGGCTTTTCCAGGTATAGGGTGTAAGCTGGTGGTGAATCTACCATTCTGGGGTCTGGTGGGTGTTGGTCCCCTTCCCATAGCTCCTCTAAGCAGTGCCCTGGTAAACACTCTCTGTGGGGGCTCCAACTCTGCAGCAGCCTACTTCTGCCTGGGCACCCTGGCTTCTCCACATATCCTCTGAAATCTAGGGGGAAGCTGCCAAGCCTCCCTCACTCTTGCATTTCATGCACCCAAAGGCTTAATATCATGTGAAAGCCACCACAGCTTATGGTGGCTTGTGCTTTCCAAGGCAGCAGCTGGTTCTATACCTGTGGTCCCTTGAACTGAGGCTAGAACTGGAGCAGTGGGGATGCAAGGAGCAACCTCCTGGGATAGTGCAGTGTGGCACAGGGCAGCAGGGCACAGCCATTCTTTCCTCCTAGGCCTCTTGGCCTGTCATAAGAGGGGCTGCCTCACAAATCTCTGAAATGCCTTCAAGGCCTTTTCCCCTTTGTTTTGACTAGCAGGACCTAGCTCACTTTTATTCATGCAAATCTCTCTAGCAAGTGGTTGCTCCACAGCCTGCTTGGATTCTTTCCCTGAAAATGGCCTTTTCTTTTCTACCACTTGGCTAGGCTGCAGATATTTCAAACTTTTACACTCTGCTTCCCTTTTAAATATAAGTTCCAACTTAAGTCATTTATTTGCTCCCAAATCTGAGCATAGGTTGTTAGAAGCAGTCAGGCCATATCTTGAATGCTTTGCTGCTTAGAAATTTCTTCCACCAGATACCCTAAGTCATCATTCTTAAGTTCCACAGATCCCTAGGACATGAACACAATGCAACCAAGTTTTTTGCTAGGGTGTAACCAAGATGACCTTTACTCCATTCCCCAATACGTTCCTCATTTCCATCTGAGACCTAGTCAGCCTGGACTTTACTGTCCAAATCACTATCAGTATTGTGGTCACAATCATTTAACCAGTCTCAAAGGAGTTCCAAGCATTCCCTCATCTTCCTGTCTTCTTTTGAGCCCTCCAAACTCCTCCATCCTCTGCACATTATCAAGTTCCAAAGGTGTGTCCACATTTCAGGTATCTTTATAGCAATGCTCCACTCCTCAGTACAAATTTTCTGTGTTAGGCTATTCTTGGGTTTCTATAAAGAAATACTCGCCAGGCATGGTGACTCATGCCTGTAATCCCAGCACTTTGGGAGGCCAAGGTGGGTGGATCACCTGAGGTCAGCAGTTTGAGACCAGCCTGACCAACATGGTGAAACCCTGTCTCTACTAAAAATACAAAAATTAGCTGGGCCTGGTGGAGTGTGCCTGTAATCCAAGCTACTTGGGAGGCTGAGGCAGGAGAATTGCTTGAACCCAAGAATGAGCTGAGATTGTGCCATTGCACTCCAGCCTGGACAAAAAGAGCAAAGCAAACAAACAAACAAACAAAAAACAGAGAAATATCTAAGGCTGGGTAATTTATAAATAAAAGAGGTTTAATTGGCTCACAGTTCTGCAGGCTGTACAAGGATGGTCCCAGTATCTGCTCAACTTCTGGGGAGGCCCTCAAGAAGCTTACAATCTATGGCAGAAGGTGAAGTGGGAGCAGGCACATCACATGACAAGAGTGGGAGCAGGAGAGAGAGGGGTGAAGTGACACATGCTTTTAAACAACCAGATCTCGCATGAATTCACTCATCAGCAAGGAGATAGTGCTAAATCATTCATGAGAGATCAGCTCCCACGATCCAAACACAACTCACTTCCAACACTGAGGACTACAATTTGACATGAAATTTGGAGGGGACAAATATCAAAACCATATTACACACCATTAATAGCCACCCACTCTATTAAATGTATGAACTTAGACAAGCCACCTTTAAAACCTTTCTTTACATATACATGTGTTCACAAACAATATATAATATTGCTTTGGAAGGGCATTTAAAAAACCCCATGTAAATACTATCATACTGTATATTTTATTCTGTTGCCTCTTCTAGTTCGATCAAGACTGTTTTTGAGATTTGCATTAAATTATTTAACTCTATTCATTTTAACTGCTGTTAAATTTTATCTTCATTTTTAAAATTTGTTTTCAGACTAATGCAACTTGTTGCTATCCTTTCGCTATTATAAACAATGAGGCACGGTGGCTCACGCCTGTAATCCCAGCAGTTTGGGAGGCCGAGACGGGCGGATCACGAGGTCAGGAGATCGAGACCATCCCGGCTAACACGGTGAAACCCC